TGCTTTGAATGTTCGATATAAGAAGTCACTTGCCCCGGAGCACCCTAAATTGAGGAATTACAGTATTTTGGGCTTGAATTGCCTTCAGAAAATATGCATGGACTAGCTGTAGACTTTCTCATGGTTTCAGCTGCCATTTTATAGGAGATATATCTCAGAGAACGATGGACGGGTTGAGTATTAGTATGGCCCCGGAGGGGCCGGACAAATTCGATTTTAGTAGTATTTACACTCGGATTTTACGGTAAAACATGCAATCAGTCACTCACTAGCTGCTTTGTTCCTACTTCGGGGCTCTGAGGGCGATTTGTGGAGCATAGGCCCGAGAGTAACGCAGATTTCGGTCCCAAGGGCCTCAAAGCCACAACTGCCACATGGCTCTCTGAGCCAATCCCAATTTTTCTTTTTTCTTTTTCTTTTTATTTTATTTTATTGCAACTCTATCATTATCGAGCCGTAATAACTCTTTGTTATCCTCCACCACCGTCTTTCGTTATGGACTGCAAGCTCTTCCTATGGTAAAGGGAAACTCAGGTACCTCTCGGGCATCGGTCGGGTCAAGCCCTCAGAAAGAGCAGAAATTTTTGGGTACTTGACTATTGTTGTAGGATATCTCCCCCAGTTTCTTCCGCTCGTCCGACATACCCGCCTACGCAGGGCACAATGAGTTGATGGTCCCTTCGGTGGGCTACCATGCTAATGGTACGATATGGTTACTCTTCGCGTCCTCGATGGCATTGCAGCATTACTTCACTGCAGCGTACTCACTGCCGAACTCATGTAACTTTTTGCGGCCCACTGGAGCTGCAATGGTACGTCTTCGCCCGACCACCGTCTATAGCTACTGCAAATCGCGCAGCAATAGAAGGAACGGACAGTATTGAATATTTATACGAAGCCCGGGCGAAGATACGATGACACGTCGGACATCATCTGGAATCCCTTTGCGGCGGAGAACACCCACCCATCGTGAGTACTGCAATTTCCTGTACGGCTGGTCGCGGCGGGTGCGCTCGGATGCCCATAGCATCACACGCTGTAATCCCCTTCGCACTGGTCTCCGAGCACCCCCGAGTGCACTTTGCTTCTTTCTTGTCTCTGTGCGCGGATCCTTGCTGAAATCAAGCTCCCGGGCAAGGTTAGGAGGAATCAAACGACGATCCAGGATGGTATCCACTGTCGACCGTGGGGTTAGGTCTTTTAAGTGCTTTTGTATCACGGTTTATCTCCGGGTCTCGTCTGGAGTCCGACGTTCGGACACAGAGGTCGAAGCTGCGTGCAGCGTCATCAAGACACTCGTGTATCTCGATCTCATCCGGGATGCTCTATCTTAGCTCTATCTACTTAGCGGTGCTCGTCGAATGGCCGTGATGGGATCGCCGGTTGCTTCAGTTCACGCTTCGACCGGCGTGAGCTTGACTCCCGCATAGCTATCGTCCAATCAGCCTGCACCACCCGATCCAGAATTAAGGGAGCCTCCTGTCGCCGGTCCGCACCACTTGCGCGTTCGGGAATCTATGGTCTCTGCCCAAAGACGAAATGCTTCCGTCTTCATGCCTCACGCTCAATACGCCATCCAACCTCCGCTGAGGCCGCTCATTGTAATGCTCCTTACACTTGCGAAATACTCTGCAGTGTAGTTGGCGCGTCTCGAGGTAGTTCTCTATCTCATTTATTCCTACACGGCTTCTAATTTCGCTGGCTTATCAAGCGCATCCTCAGGAGCTCCACGCTCGCGCGGTAGATATTGCTCCTGTACTAGTAGGGACTCGTCCATGGCCTGGACCCCTTCTAACATGGAATCTGCCTGAAATACGGAAACTCAGTCCTACGGTGATGTGCTCCTTGTTACATGACGGATACGGCTGTCACGTTGGGACCGTCTCGATGCACGTCTGTGCTGTGGAGGTGGTGACATACAGATCAAGACCCCAAAGTTGGAGTAAACAGCTAACATGACATGGTCCAGGGCTCATCGCTCAGCGCGCTTAGCACTCGTGACACAGTTCACCGACGTCTCGGATGCTGCTGTTCCCCGATCGAAATGTAAGCCTCTTTGCGCAATCAGACGTCGTGCGCCGCGATCGCCAAGGGCGTGAATTGCATTGATGTAGGGGGGAAGGCGCCCGTCGAGGATGGAATTTGTCTTTCTTTGAGTGGGTCATATCGGATGGCCTAATGGTGGCGTCAGGGATGTCCATGCCCCGTGCGCGAGGAAGACAGTCCAGAGGCGTCCTTGCCACCGTTAGTCTCCGAACTTTTGTGCCATGGCGAGACATTCGACCCCGCATAAGCCCCCGCGGGGGCACGAGATAATGGGCTCTTCGTTTCCGAAATCTGTAATTTAGAAAGCGGATCACTTGATACCGATCACTTATCTTGATGCGGGGCCCCGCGGGCAGGGGCACCCTCTTCCTCCAGTCGTTCACTTCTGCTCCGCAGTACTAGTGCAGCTCCCCCTGCAGCGTCAACCCACTGACGTCTCTTCTACACTACGGCTATGAACATTCTGGAAGAGAATTGCAGTCTAAATCAAGAGAACGACTTGCTCAGGACGCTTACTAGCGTTGGGAAGGGAGGAAACGAAAATGACCTATGACACGCCTCACAGGGTCATCTGACAAACCAACTCCCCAGAAACAGGATTCTCCGGGGCGCCTTTCCGATAGCAAGAGTGCATCTTTTACCCGCCCGCGGCACGCACGACGACTCTGCACGTATATAAGGTCGTCGTCCGGCCCCACATCCGGCCAGACTTGCCCAATCGCCTATTCACCATGCCCAGCACATTCACGCACGAGTTCAACACCCCTGTCTACAAGGGCAAGTCGTCCTTCAACACCGGGCTCTTCATTGACGGCAAGTTCGTCGACGGCCAGGATGGCGAGACCATTGAGTGAGCACAGTGTGATATGACAGAAGACATCTATCGTTAATCAACATCACATCAACAGCGTCATCAACCCTACGAATGGCAAGGTAATCACAAAGGTGTCGGCGGGCACTGCAAAAGATGTCGACATTGCCGTCGCGGCGGCACAGAAGGCGTTCGATACCGTGTGGGGTCTGAACTGCGCCGGCGCCGTGCGGGGCAAGCTCCTCGGCAAGCTCGCCGATCTCATGGAGGAGCACGCCGACGAGCTCGCTGCACTCGAGGCACTCGATAACGGTGTGCACTCAACTAAGTAAATTATCCACAACCCGCTCATATATCCACTGCAGGCAAAACCTTCGGCTGGGCGAAGAACAGCGACGTCGTCGCCTCGGTGGGCTGCATCCGGTATTACTCCGGCTGGGCAGACAAGCACTCGGGGAAGGTCATCGAGACGGACGAGAACAAGCTCGCGTACACGCGCAACGAGCCAATCGGCGTCGTCGGCCAGATCATCCCCTGGAACTTCCCGCTCATGATGCTCTCGTGGAAGCTCGGGCCCGCGCTCGCGACCGGGTGCACGATCGTGCTCAAGCCGTCCGAGTTCACGCCGCTCACGGCGCTGCGCATGTGCGAACTCATCCAGAAGGCGGGCTTCCCGCCCGGCGTCGTCAACATCGTCAACGGCTTGGGTACCACCGTCGGCCAGGCGATCGCGGAGCACCCCAAGATCGAGAAGGTCGCGTTCACGGGGAGCACGCTGGTCGGAAGGAAGATTATGGAGGCGGCGGCGAAGACGAACTTGAAGAAGGTCACGCTCGAGCTCGGAGGGAAGAGCCCGAATATCATCTTCAACGATGCGGACTTGGAACAGGCCGTCAACTGGGCTGTCCACGGTATCTTGTGAGTCTTGCTGTCCCTCCACCGACGGTGCTACAGCTGACCATGTGTGCAGCTGGAATCACGGTCAGGCATGCTGTGCTGGGTCTCGCATATTCGTCCAGGAGGGTATCTACCAGGAGTTCCTGACGCGGTTCACGGAAAAGGCCAAGTCGCTCAAGATTGGCGACCCCTTCGAGCCTGATGCGTATCAGGGCCCGCAGGTCTCGCAGACCCAATACGACGTGAGTGTCATCACGCCTCTCATGTATGAAACGGGCGTCTCACTCGGCCCTTCAGCGTATTATGGGCTACATCAACTCGGGCAAGGAGCAGGGCGCGAAGCTGCACCTGGGCGGCGAGCGCCACGGCAACGAGGGCTACTTCATCAAGCCGACGATCTTCACGGACACGAAGCCGAACATGAAGATCGTGCAGGAGGAGATCTTCGGGCCCGTCGGCGTTGTGATCAAGTTCACCGACGAGGACGACATCATCCGCCAGGCGAACGACACCGTGTACGGCCTCGCCGCGGCGGTGTTCACGCAGAACATCAACCAAGCGATCGAGACGGCGCACCGCCTCCATGCTGGGACTGTCTGGATTAACTGCGCGAACCAGCTCCACCCGCAGATTCCGTTCGGCGGGTTCAAGCAGAGCGGGATTGGGCGTGAGCTCGGCGAGTATGCTTTGGCAAAGTGAGTGCTTCTGCGTTTGGCTATGGTGCGCCTGGGTGATTGACACGCATTTCAGCTACTCCAATGTCAAGGCTGTCCACGTGAACCTTGGCCACAAGATGTGAGGGGCTTCACATGTGGCTGGTATTTCGCTCTTCTTGGAGGTTGTGAGGATGTACGGATACCTATGGGAGATCAAAATATTTGTATCAATTATACTTGCTTATGTACCTACCACTTTATACATTTCTCGTTGCTCTGATATCGTTGTCCCTTTACTGGGGAGAGATGTGATATGCTTTTCTGCAGTGCGAGTGCTTCAGCCACAGTGCCTCGGCAACTTCCGCACTCCCAGTTACGGGCAGGTTGCCGTATCTGTCTTGCTACAATCCACTCTTCCCGCAGATCCCGCCGCCGGACGCCCTCAAACTCGAGCTAATGGGCACACGACCGTGCGGGACCATTCATGCGTACGGTTAAAGTCGTCGTTATAGGCGCGTCCGGCGTAGGAAAGACTAGTCTCCGTGGACAGGTGGGTTACAGGGTGCACGATAGCGGAACTGGAGCTGAAGCGATTGGGATGCGCGCAGTATATATCAGGGCGGTTTTCGACTGGGTACCGAGCTACCATCGGCGCGGATTTTATTAGCAAGACTCTGCCTCACTATGCGCACCCAGATGAGAATGTTACGCTGCAGATTTGGGTGCGTAACTATCGCTCGTGCCGCTACGCAAGCACTCACCGGCTCCTCGATTCGCACAGGACACCGCTGGCCAAGAACGCTTCTCCTCCCTCTCCTCCGCCTTCTTCCGCGGCGCCGACGCCGCGATTCTCGTGTTCGACGTGAACCACCCGCAGACGCTCGACGCGCTGCGCAAGTGGTGGGACGAGTTCAAGGAGAAGGCCCCGCTGCGGGATGACGAGGTGGACGAGTTTTGCTGCGTGGTCGTGGGGAACAAGGTCGACCTGGTCGGAGGGGAGCCAGAGGCGCAGGGGAAGGTGAGCGAGCTGGATGCGCTGAGGTTCATGGACGAGATCATCCCTCCCTCGGAGCCGGACTCGGATGATACACTACAATCGCATCCGCTCGAGTTCCCCCATAGCATCGGCGACGGCAGCGTCAAAGGCACCGGGCCCACCAACTCTATCGAAATCACCGACCATCGGCGCCGGCACTCGCATAGCCCCACGCACCTGCTCTCCAAGTCGCGCTCGCGCAGCCGCTCGTCGAAGTTCCTCGCGGGGACGGTGACGACGACGCACACCACGCTCAGCATCTACCACACGCCATCCTCCTCGCTCTTTGACGCATACGAGTCCGCGCGGTCCTCGCCCGCGCCGTCGAGCTCGCCAGCAGAGTCCGTCAGCAGCTCCCTCCGCTCGCGCAAGCTGAGTAATCTGTCGATGTCTACCACATCGTCTGCACCGACGATCACGCCCAGTCTCTTCGCGCACCAGCAACACCAGCAGCACCGCCCCCCGCCGCCCGAGAGGAAACCGAAGCTCTTCTTCACGTCGGCGAAGACGGGGGAGGGCGTCCCGGACGTGTTTGAGTACATCGCGCGACGGGTCGTGAGGAGGTGGGAGTACGAGGAGGCGGTGGAGAGCCGCGTGATGCACATGCAGGAGCCCAGTGAGTCCACCACAGTCAGACTGGATGAGGGAAGGCCGAGGAAGGGGCTCAGCGGGAAGAGTTGTTGTTCGTCGTAGATATCGGGTTCAGGGCCACTGATTTATTGGGTTGCTGTTATACATATTTCTATCCTTATCCGCTACTTGTACGTACGCATGCTTTGGACCTCATCAGTACATGTTCTTTTACACTGACGACACCATTGGGGAATATCTGGTATCAAGTTCAACATCCCTTTGGAATGGGTCTGATAGAGTGTGAAAAGATACCGCTGCTGCGCCACCCCTTTAGTTCGTCGGTGAATCGAAGCGATGCTTGCAACGCCGGGGCAGACTTGGGAATTCCGGGTAGTCAGGCACTATTCACGGGGATGTCTCTGGGTCGGCGACGCAGGCTCTCGTCCACTGTTCAATGTCTCGGTTCCGAAGCTGGCGTTCGGCCTGCTCTCGCTGGGCGGCTTGCATCATCCAGAGTCGGAACACGTAGTCTTCGGCTTCTCCAGGGGTGAATCGTACATATCCTCCTTCATCACCTTCGGGTGTGACCTGCGTAGAGGAGGGTTGCCCATAGCGCTCGTCATCAACATTTTCGTGATCAGCTATGGTTGGTGGGATGTCAGATAGCCCGCCTTCCTGAGATTGTGGCTTGGGTCGGAACCAAGGGGCATTCGTATCTCGCCATGCCTGGGCAGAACCAAATGCCTCAAGGACAGAAATACCGTAGACATAATGGAGAAGCTCGGGGTGAGGCAAGTCAGACTGATTCAACTCCTGGAAACACCCATCTGCACTCAGCACATCAGAGGCAAGGAGACGTTGGATCAATAGGACGTCTCGCGAATTGACAACGTGGAGATTTTGCAGGATGTAACGACAGCCTGTCGGATAATTGTAACCCAGCGGACCAGACCTGAGAGGGTTTGCAGCAATGTCATCGCATTGCAGTACGGGATTTGGGGTCTGGAAGATGCTGAGTGGCATATCAGAGCCACAAAGTTGAACAGACATACAAAAAGCACAGCAAGCTGTTTCTTGTCCAGCAGCCGGTGTAGGTCTGCCTGGCAGATGAAGCCGTTCTGTATATCATTGATATCGTACAGCGACGGCGTCATGGACCGCGCATGAGCGATGGCATGTAGCCACTTTTGCACGGTGTAAGCTCTCTACCGGCGCCAGAAGCAGAAGTATCTTACCTCGGTTCCGCGAGCGAAAGGAATGATGTGTCGGGCTTCCCCCGTCCATCCCGTGAAAATGCATACACAGTCACGCCTCTGTAGATCTTCTCGGAAGGTGGTGACTCTTCTGTCTAATGGATTTGTACGCCCGGACTGGCTGCGATGTGCGAGCACATCAGCATCGACGGTAGCACTCGGCACGAAGTCTACGACAACTCAGCAATGTACGGTGAGTTTCCGGGCCAGCTTTGAGCTTACCAGGGACTGCGAGACGGATCTCATCATCCTCGTTGACTGTCTCCTCATCTCGCAGTGGGGTACACTCAGAATCTCGTGAAAGCTGGCCTTCCACACCGTATAACGCCCAACCGACGTATCTGAGCCATTTCACCCGGATTTTTGCAGAGTGACTGTATTCTTTCGAGCGGAATTTGAAGGAGGATAGGGACCGAGCCAGCGGGTGGAGGTAGAACTATCGTGACCATGGTGGTAGTACTGGGAATGCGTAGAGTCCGTCAGCAGCTGCCTACTCCGCTCGCGTAATGATCCGTAGACTGTCGATGTCTGCGACCTCGTCCGCGGAGGAGGCCCAAGCTGTTCACGTCGGCAAAGACGGGGGAGGGTGTGCCAGACGTGTTTGAGTACATCGCGCGACTGTGGTAAGAAGGTCGGAGTACGAGGCGGTGGAGAGCCTCACGATGCACATATGTGCAGGAGCCTAGTGAGTCGACTACTATCAGGCTGGATGAGGGCTTGGCGGAAGTTGTTGTTCGTAGCCTGATTTATTATGCTACTGTTATACATGCTCCTATTATTCCTCTCTCTTGTACATACCCGTGAACCTCATTAGTTACATTTTCCTTTGCACTGATGATGTCACATGGGAATACAAACGTACCCCTTTGGACTGACACTAGGGCACTACTTCCTTGGTGTTTGGGGAATGTAACAACATTGGGACAAAACATGGTTTATGAGACCTCACGGCGTGCTTGCTGCCAAATCTCTGGCCCACTGAGCAATATCATTGCGCTCCTGGCGCTCAGCCTCCTCTTGCTGGGCGAGTCGTATCATTGAAAGTCGGAACACAAAGTCCTCGGCTTCCTCAGCTGTGATCCTTACAAATCCTTGTTCATCGGCCTTGGGTGCAGGCGGGTGACTGCCCTGCATGGGCGAGGCCTGTGCAAAACGCTTGTCATGAGTAGTTTCGTGATCAGTCATGGTTTGTGATATATGAGACTGCCTGAATGCCTGAGATTGTCCCTTGGGTCGGAACCATGGGGCATTCGCATTTTGCCATGCTGAGGCAGAACCAAATGCCTCAAGGACAGAAAGGCCGTAGACATAATGGAGCAGACCGGGATGCGGCAACTTATGCCGATCCAGCTCCCGAAACCATCCGTCCAAGCTTTTTGACACAATGTTGTGAAGTCGATCCTGCCAGAAACAAACATCTGGCTCATTGAGAATGTTCAGATTTTGCAGGGTGTAACAACAGAACGAGGGATATTCGCGGCCCCGTGGCTTGGGAACATCAGCCCTTGAAGGAACATCGTCGCAGTCGAGTATGGGATTTGGTGTCTGGAAGGTGCTGGTTTCATACATATCAAAGAGCCATAAGGTCGGTCAGACGTACATAAAGCACAGCGAGCTGTTTCTTGTCCAGTAGTCGGTGTAGGTCTCCCTGGCACATGAAGCCGTTCTGTTTATCGTTGATATCCTGCAGCGACGGCATCATGGAACGCATTTGGACGATGGCTTGGAGCCACTTTTGCACGATATAAGCTCTACCGGCGCCAGAAACAGAGGTATCTTACCTCGGTCCCGCGAGCAAAAGGGATTATGTGTCGGGCCTCGCCTGTATATCGCGTGAAGATGCATTCACCATCACGCCTCTGCAGCTCTTGTCGGAAAGCCGCGACTATGCTGTCTGATCAATCGGTATGGCCTGACTGGCTGCCGCGAGCGAGCACGTCGACATCAACGGTAGCACTCGGCATAAAGTCTACAGTAATTCAACGTATAGCAGTCTCCTGATAATACTTGAGCTTACTTGGAACTGTGAGACGTATCTCGTCATCCTCATTCAGTGGATGACTTCCCGTAACGCTAAATCCTTATTTTCCCTATTTCTAAGGCGTTGTCAGCGAAGTGGTCACACCGAGTGATCGATTTTGATGGGATAAATATGGGGAAATAGAGATGGTCTCTAAACCGTGGGGACACTTCGCTGCTGCGAGACGCAGGACGCTGCTGGAGCGAAGAAGCACGAGATTCATCCAAATATGGAGACGCTCACGAGGCATCAATGCTAGCCGACGCTAAGTGAGTGTTAGCCGACTCTAAGCGAGGATTTAGAGACGTTCAGCATTTTACAGAGGGGTAGGGACCCCTCTGTAAAGTCCAGGATTTAGAGACGCCTTTGCTTGACGACCGCCATCAACAAAACGTTACCATGGAAAGCGTGACAATTCGGCATCCCGGCACGATCACATCGGGGCCAGATTTTAGGGATTTAGGGACGAAATTTTAGAAAAAATAGCGATTTAGCGTTACGGGAAGTCATCCAGTGTGTCCTCATCTCGCAAGGGGATAGACTCGGGACCTCGGAAAAGGTGGCCTTCCACACCATACAACGTCCAACCGACTTATCTCAGCCATTTAACTGGATATTTGCAGAGTAGCTGCATCCTTGCGAGAGGAATGCGAAGCAGGAGATCGGAATGCGAGCCTGAGGGGTAAGGCATAGCTATGGTGACCATACTAGTCCACTAGGGGCAGTACTGCGTGTTTACTGTTATATAGTGCCTGCAGTGGCCCTATGCCCGATCCTGGCTCCTAAGCGAGCGAATGAAAGCCTGACCGTGAGAACTGAAGTGGGCAGCTTGGTCAATGGGACCGGGTTGACGAGCGTCAGGCTGGAGGACTGCACAGTGACACAACTCGCATTTGAAATAATAAGAAAGACGGGAGCGAATCGTACAGTAACAGACGATAACTAGTAGGACATCCATATCAACCCAGCTTCTTCTCGTCGGCTTTTTCCATACCCACGTAAACGGGTACTTCTATCACAGGAGTCCCACCATTATCTGACGCCTTCTCCACATCATCTGCGGCAGAAGATGCAGACGACGCTGTCTCCTGGGTCAGCTGCTCCCAGGACCAGGTTTTGTCTACATTATCCAACGGCCGAATTTTGCAGAGCACCACATACACGACAAAGGTCGTGGACGTGCTGACAAGCCAGCCGAGGTCATTCAGCTTGACCGCACCTGCTGGGACCGCCACCCCGAACGTGCCCACGAATCCCACAAATGGCAGCATCATGCTATGTACAGACACGAGTAAGTGAAGGACTGCAGGGCAGCTGCGAGACGACTGGCTGTGACTGACCCGCACACATACGCCAAGACGGCGTTCAGGTTGAACCCGTGCGTGTACATGTACGCACTCCCCGGCGCCGAGGTGTACAGCTGGGATACGTCGATATTGCCCTTGCGCACGATCCAGTAGTCGCTGATCATGATTGCAGCAGTAGGGCCTTGAAAGGAAGGTATCTTATTCTGTATAAGCTGCATGGACTCTGGGAAACTCACCCATGAATATCCCGTATCCTCCCAAGAAAGCCTAGGAAAATCCTCAGATACCCGACAGAAGTTCCTTGGCACAGGAGACACACCAAGAACCCATGCGCCGATCCGAGAATCTTCCACGGCACCAGTCCAAACGCCACCACACAGCAGAAGAACATGCCCCGCGTGATATTGAACCACCGCGGGAAGAGCGCGGTCGAGTCGCTGCCGAAGGGGAGGAGGTTCGCGCCGACGAGCGCGCCGAGCGTGAAGAGCGCGGTCGAGAACGCGAGGAGGAAGACGGCGAAGCGCGCTTGCGGCGTCCAGGAGTGCGCGAGGATCGCATCGAGGAGGTCCCACTGGTTCCAGAGCGTCACGCCCCATGCGCGCTGGATGGCGGAGGTGCCGAAGATGCCTATCATGCCGCCCTACCAGTTTCGTATGTGGCAGTGAGATATGTGCGGGTGGAAGATGAAGAGGGGAGGGAACGCACCAGGGTGGCGGGGATGGGCACGAGGAGGATGTGCGTCCAGAAGGTCGCTTTGGGGCTGGTTGCGTACCTCGAGAAATCCGGCATGTTGGCTATGAAAGTTGACTGCGGGTCATAATTTCATCAGTTCTCTAGACAAGCGGGCACATCACTAACCCAATTCCCCATCGACGAGTTCACAGAGCTGACAAAGAGCCATCCCAGGACGGCACCTCGGGGCACCTTCGTCCCTTCATCAGCAAGCTGCAACGTCCCCGCTAGCTTTCCCCTGCTCTGTACGAGGCAGTAGATGAGCAGACCGAGTACGCTCGGCGGGAGCACGACTGCCTTGAAGTGGTACAGCCACCGGAGGCGATTCGGGCGGAACCCGCAGAAGGGGAGCGTGATGAGCCAGAAGAGGAAGTACCCGAGGAAGCGCTGGACTGTCGTCCCTGTGGAGGCGGGAAAGTGTGCGGGGAGGTCTGTCCAGCGGTGCCCGAAGACGCATGTGAGCATCGTGGAGACGTAGGCGCCGCCCTGGAATACTGGCGGAGAGCGAGGGTGTGAGCATGGGATGGGTGAGAGTGGAGGAAGGGAATGGACGAACGGATGACGGAGACCCAGAGCATCGCACAGAACCCGCGGCACGCGACGGGCCAGTAGTGGCCGTACATGCCAAAGCAGCTCCTGGCCACGACGGGGTAGCCGATGTGGTAGCTCGCCGCTGCGCGCGAGTTGAACGCCATGCAAGTGCCGGAGATGACCGCGGCGCAGAGGATCACAAGCGAGGCTTGGTACCAGTTGAGCCCGATTGCGACCACACTCGAGCCCAACGTCCTCGGTAAGCGTATGTCAGTTGGTCATATGGACAATAAACTTGAAGGCATAGATGGAGTTATTGACGCACCAGTTCCCGAACCCCATGCCGAACCAGAAGATGCAGAAGTTGTACCACCGCCAGTTGATCATGCTCGGCGGAGAGGGCTTCAGGTCCTCGTTCGACCAAGGGTGTTGCGTGACATGAGCATTCCCCTCCGTACAGACGTACTGGAGGAAGGACTCTTTCGACGCCGTCGCGTGCCGGAGCCGCTGCGCCCACTCGCGTACCGCATTCCGCATCTTGCAGAGGTAGACTCGAAGAACGAGGGCGTGTGTAGAACCTCGGGCCCACTGGTGTTGCGTAGACGCCTGCCGCCCTTAGTTATAGAGGTTCAGTGGAGCGGCATCTTATCGACGGAAAGAAGTCGGATTTGGTCTTTATCTTTGGAAACTCTATCTGGACCTGCAGAAGATAAGTACCAAGACATTGATGAAGAAGCAATGACGATCCCGTGCAGGGTAGGATTAGCGATATTTATAGAAGCACGAGTATCACTATACTGTGCCACAACAAACGCTATCGTTCCGACCTGTGTCAGCGGGAGTGTCAGTTAGTACCTCCCTGCCAGGCACACATTCGGGCGGCGCGATATGGTATATGACGAGGTGGCACAGTGTATGGAACGTAGCAAATTGACGTAAGACTCACAGCTAAAACAAACAATGGGTTGCCGCGAAGGTAGGGGGAAACGGAAAGGAAATTCAGCACCAGCTTCCGTTCAGCATCCCCCCCTGTAGGAAGCGCACCAGATAGTAGAGCGCCTGCTGGGTACTTCATTCCGAGCACGATGGGTCAATGGGAACCGTTATCCGAGCAGTGCATGAGTCAGTATAGCCTGCCTTACTCTTTAACCCTAGCAGAAACCCTAAATCAAACGCATGAGCCCAAGGATCACCGCCCTGATTGCTCCTAACCTTGCGCAAGGCCAGCAGATTCATCGGATCCGCTTGTAGAACCAACGTGGAAGCACTTCCGGAAGAGGTTCTCTGTAAAACTTGAGAGGTCCCGCGGCGCGCGATAACGACTTGCTAAGCTCGAGCTCCAACCCCCGAATGCGAAGTAATACCACAAGTCTATCTTGGTCTTGTCAATCGTCTCAAGTCTTCTGACGGACGTCTTCGATGATGGCACGAGCGCTATGCAGCATCGTATTCGTATACCTAAACATCCGTATTCGCTTACAGAGGTCGGTACAAGCAGAGTTCAGTCTTGCTTATGTTTGCAGATTGAGCATCAAGCGCGGTACTTGTTATGCGGCTTCAACGCGGTCCAAAACTTCCAGGAGAAAACACAAGCGTCTCAGAGAGGCTCCACCATCAACAAGACTGATTTGTCTCTCGAGCTATGTGCCGCAAAGGCATGAGGAACAACGGTGTGGCAAGGAGGTCCTGCAGGAGGCAGGTACGGAAAGCCCAGTTGCCGCCACCGGCAAGCACGTGACTGGTCCCCTGCAGAGCGCCTCGACTTGCACTGGGACGGTTTGCAACGTCCAGACCGCCACTGGACGCTCCTCGACTCCTCCATCCACTCCTGCGAGGCTCTCGACCGGGAGCGCGCAGGATCAAGCACCATGGGGACCCTCCTCAATGTTGACAGTTGTCGACCCGACCTGTCCGATGTCCTTTGAAATTTCGTCCGGTTCCGTGTTTTAAATCGCTGCGTTCCGCGGGCTCCTATTTCGAATCCGAATTTCTGCAGACCGACCCATCCCAGGAAGCGTGGCCTTTGCCCATCATAAAACGCCCACCCTCGACATTTGTAATGGAGCCTACGTTCCTGAAGGTCACCGCGGACGAAGAGATTTCGTGCCCCTACGTCCCCGTCCGCAACAGCATGCCGTCCAGCGAGTGGTACTCTGATGCCTCGAGCTCGTCACACACGCTCACCGCTGAGTCGTCCGAGAAGCGCCAGTCCACATCCTCGCCTCCCTCAAGTAACCACGAGAGCCCCAAGTGCCCCGTCGTGTTCACACAGGAAGTCGACCCCCTCCTCCTGCGCAAGTCGCTCGATGACCGCGTCGCGTACCTCACCGACTTCCTCGGCTTTACGTCGGACGACTCGGACATCATCACCAAGGTCGCGCCGTTTGTCAACGACCTCATCCCCGAGATGGTGGACGATATGTACGCGAAGCTGTTCGAGTTCGATATCACCAAGCGGGTGTTCATGACCAGGAATCAGGTGCGTTCGCTCGCTTTTTCTTCAAGGTGCCGGGTACTGAGATCGAAACGTGCAGGGCTTTGACGGACCACTGCCCTCCCGTCTGGAAGACCTCACTCTCGACAGTCCCCAGATCAAGTTCCGCAAGGTTTTCATGAAGTCATGGGCTCGCCGCGTCCTCACCTCCGACTACACCTCCGGCAAGACATGGGCCTACATGGACAAGGTCGGCATCATGCACACTGGCGTCTCGCCCTTCAAGCACCAGCGCACCATGGGCATCAAGCCTCTGAACGTACCATGTTAGTCTCCTCGCGTTTGCCCGTGCTCGGGACGACGGTTAACTGGGCGTCCTATCTAGATCGTGATATTGGCTTAACGCTGGGATGGGTGCAGAGCATCCTGCAGACGGGGATTCTGCGAGTCCCGGAGTCGGATCTCAGCATGGAAGACAAAATCGCTGCTATCACCGCCATCAACAAGGTACGACAGCGTCTTCTATGCATCCTCTCTCGCTCATGCTCACCTCGCCCTTTCCTTCCGCAGGTAATTTGGATACAGAACGATCTGTTCTCGCGGCATTACACTAACGAGGAGGAATCGGGTGAAGCGATATGATATGACAAGCTTGGCTTGCGGGAGGTCAGGGTATTACATGACTACGTACCAGCATAATCAAGAGATCCACGTGTATCCCCGTATTATTTATTTGTTTGTAGCTAGGAGTACTGAGATCGAGTAATCTGTATCGACGTTCTTCTCAATATCAACTTTGTGACCACTCTGCCCAGGAGCTTCTGCGGCCAATCAGAAGCCCAGTTGGCGTCACGCCGGTGGCACTGATGCGATTGCAGAGGCTCGAGCGCAATTCTGAGGAACACTAGGTCCACATGAATATTGCGTCCATATAGACTGACCAGCTTCGAATTGCGCGTAGGGCGGATGAGTCTCATCAACGAGAGGTCCAGATCCCACGCGAAAGCTGCAGCCTGAGTTCTCGCCGTTCGGCACGTCTTCAGTGATACCTTGTTTCTACGCACAACGATCCGGCAAAGAGAGCATACTACATAGCATCTGTAATTACCCGGGGAAAAGCATACTTGCCTCCCAACTCGCCGGCTTGCATAGTGAACATCGACGATTAAGCCTGATTGGAGGTGCGGTAAGTAATAGAAGGAAAGCCCGCAGCTGAAGGTCCAAGGGCAATACGGTGGCCGAGAGCCGCCAGGTCTAAGTCACGCGTGACCAATGCGCTGTGAGTTGCTGACGTTGTGCTTACAGTTTGAAGACCCCGGATACCTTGCCAGTGCAGCGGTGTGACGGCCCTTTTAAGTACTCTTTGCAACCTTTTATTCTGCTCCTCCACTGTGAATGTAGTCGAAGCTTTTCCATTGAATCTAGTAATACATATTTTCTACTAATTTCTGTTTTCTTGGGTGTTAGGTGCTTGCAGTAATTTACCCACTCGAGTGTAGACATAGAGGCCCGAGGGATCACTAACGGGATGGTTGTATAGTGTTGTTTTGCCGGCGGCCCTAGTTTAAGTCTCCCGAGAACCCCTTCCTGTATAGAGACGCCTGCGCTCACTCGGAGTGCTACCTGGTGGCCGGGTAACAGACAATATCATTACTGGACCAGGTTTGAGGCTTCGCGGCACCGTTTTGATATTGTTCTGGGTCGTCCACTTAGATTCAGTCCTTCTGAGCCGCCCTTCACAACAT